AAACTACTCCTCCAGCCAAGAAGAAAGCATATCCTCTGGTGCTCTTTCGATCGTGCAAATCTCCAGCATAATCACTGTCAGTGTACCCTACTAGAAAGCCTTCATCCTGAACTTGTTGGTACCATATCCCATATCCCAATTTTTTTTTATGAATACCATATCCCAGTTTGCCTTTAAGGTATCTGAGTATTCTTTTAGCAGCTAACATGTGTTGCCTAGTTGGTTGCTCCATGAATCGACTCACTAGGCAAACTGAAAACATAATGTCAGGTCGAGTTGCAGTGGCATAAAGTAGACTACCAATCAATTGCTTGTACTCTAATGGATTTGCAGCAACTCCATCTCCTTCCTTTGTCAACTTCGTTCCAGTGGCAATTGGACTCCTGACATGATCACACTCCAACAGATTGAACTTCTCTAGCATTTCTCTTGTATACTTCTGCTGAGAGATGAAGATTCCTTCTTCTGTTTAAATGATCTCCACTCCCAGGAACTATTTCATTCGCCCAAGATTAGTATTTCAAATTCCTGCTTCATTGAGTTCTTGAATTCAGTAATCATGTCCTCACAGTTGCTGGTGTAGATTATATCATCTACATACAAGCTGACCAACATGATCTTTCCTTCTTTCCTCTGTATGAACAAAGTATGTTCATGTGTGCTTCTCTCAAATCCTGTACTTAGAAAATATGACTCAATCCTACTGTACCAAGCCCTGGGAGCTTGTTTTAAGCCATGCAGAGCTTTATTCAGCTTGTAGACTTTATCTTCCTCCCCAGCAACCGCAAATCCCTGTGTTTGCTCAACATACTGATCTTCTGTAAGTGTTCCATAGAGAAATGTACTCTTGACATCTAGTTGATAAACAATGAGTCCATGATGTGCTGCCAGAGCCAAGAGTGTTCTTTTTGTGTCACGCCTTGCAACTGGAGCAAAAAGCTCGTTGTAATCAATCCCAGCCTTCTGTGAGTACCCCTTAGCCAGTAACCTTGCATTGAACTTATCAATACAGTTGTCCTCCTTTAGTTTGGTCTTGTAGATCCATTTCAAACCAATTGGAGTGACATTTGGAGCCAATGTGGTTAGAGTCTAGGTCTGATTCTTCTCAATGGAGTTCATTTCTTCTCTCATTGTTGCATTCCATTTCTCATCTTCAGCAGCTTCCTCATAAGTTAATGGATCAGTGGTAGTGCTACCATGGCCCACCAGTCTGCATCAGTATAGTGTGAGCAATCATATATTGCTAACCGAGCTGGAGGTTTTCTCACCCTAGGAGGCTAGGACCAAGACCTGAAGTAGGAAGCCCCAAACTATATGTTGGAGATTCAGTATCTGAGTCCTCCCCTTCTATCTCAGTCTGATTTCCAGTTTGAGGTGTGAATGGAGCAGGACTCGAGATTCCTTGTTGTTCTTGATCATCTGGGTTGCTGAATTTTCTTCAGCAGTGTCATCCCCATCATCTGATTCATGCAGTTCATCTTCACTTCCTTCCCAGCTTAGTTTAGTTGGTGAAGGTGGCACCTCAAACTTCCAGTCCCAACATTTTGACTCATCAAACACCACGCCCCTGCTTATCACCACCTTCTTAGTAGAGGGATTATAGAGTTTATAGGCTTTGAACTCTACTGATAATCCTAGAAAATAGCACAGAATACTCTTGTTCTCCAGTTTTCTTCTTTGTGAATCTGAGATGTGCACATATGTTGCACATCCAAACACCTTGAAGTGTGAAACAGATGGAGGAGCACATGTCCACAGTTCCTGGGGTGTCTTTTCTGCATTTGCAGCTGTTGGACTTCTGTTTAATACATGAGAGGTCCAAGCTACTGCCTCAGGCCATAATTCAGCAAGTACCCTTCTATCTTCAAGCATACATCTGACCATGTTCATTGTTGTTCTATTTTTCCTCTCAGTAACTCCATTCTGCTGTGGAGTAAGGGCTGATGTAAGTTGCCTCCTGATTCCTTCCTTTTCACATAAATCTCTAAACTCATGAAGCATAAACTCCCCTCCCCTATTTGTTCTCAGACAGATAAGTGACAGACCAGTTTCCTTCTCAACTTGCACTCTGAATCTCTTGAATTGTTCTAAGGTTTCAGACTTGGAATTCAATAAATAAACCCAAAGTTTTCCACTGCAATCGTCATTCAAGGTAAAGATGTATCTTTTACCTCCATTTGAAGTTAGGGTGATTGGCCCACACAAATCAGCATGAACCAACTGCAGTTTCTATGTAGCTCTCCAGCTGCTCTTCTTTGGAAATGGATTTCGATGTTGTTTGCCAATCATGCAGGTGTAGCAGACTCCAATAGTTCCTTGAAGATTTGGTAGGTCCTGAACAAAATTCTTCTTTTGCAGCTGAAGGATGGCAGCTGAGTTTAAATGGCCAAATCTTCTATGCCACAACTCCAGTGAGGTCTCATTGTTGGTTCCTGTCTGCAAGCATTGCATCAGATGGTTGTTTTCTTTAATTTTTGGGTTGGCATGTATCACAAACATGTGATCTGACTTCATTGTAGTCTCCAGCAGTAATCTCTTCCCTTTGTTACACCTTGCAGCTAGGGATGGCAATGGGGCGGGTTTGGGGCGGGTTTTCTTAAATCATCCTCATACCCATCTTCAAATACCCAAACCCATACCCGCCCCATACCCATGCGGGGGAATGTTTTGCAAACCCATCCCCATCCCCGTGGGTTTCGGGTACCCATGGGTAATACCCATACCCGTACATCCAACATTATTATACCTAAAACTTACAAGAAAAGTTCTAATTATAACTTTAAACGAGCATATTATATCATGACGTCAACAAAACACGGTCATTTTTTTAATATGGTTCAAATATTATGATCCTAAAATATCCATTAATACATAATATAGAGTATAATATTTTTCAAATTATTATGTTCTAACTCTGATACATCTAATAAATAATAATTAACTAACATAATCTTGTTGACAAGGGGGAAAGTGAAAGAGTGAAATGAGAATTGAAAGAAATGAATTAGATTTTGATTAAGGTGGTCACTCAATTGCATTTCTACTATTTATTTTCTCAAGTTATCCTCATCATCATTGATAGATTATAATTTGATGCACATATTTTTTTTTATATATGAAGAAATTATCTTGGTGGGACGGGTATGGGGATGGGTATGGGGCGGGGGAGGCTAAAACCATACCCGCCCCATACCCATCAAACTTTTTGCGGGTTTTACCCATACCCGGTCAAAGCGGGGATTCCCCGCGTTGACTGGGTCGGGGGCGGTCGGATACCCACGGCCATGGGTTTGATTGCCATCCCTACTTGCAGCCACCATCCTGAATGACAAAGATCAGGTTCTTCTCTTGCAGATAACCTACACTCAGTAGATTAGTGTTGAGCCCTGGTACATAGAACACATCTTGAATGGTGAGTGTAAACTGATCCATAGTCAATTTCACAGTTACTTTTCCCACAACATCGAGTTTTGTATCATTTCCCAATCTGACACTCCCTTTGTAACTAGTGTCAAGATCAGTGAACCAGTTCCTGTTCCCTGTCATATGATTGCTACAACCTGAGTCAAGAAACCACCAGTTAGCTCTTGTATTTCTTGGACTTTCAGTCTTCACAGCCTCCACATGAGCCATGAGAAGCACATCTTCTTTCATGTGTACTTCAGTGCTGCCTTGGCCTTGATCTGTGTTGGTGTAGTAAGCTTGACCAGTACTGTGCCAATCTGGGCACTCATACTGGAAGAGTCCCAATCTATGACACCTGAAACACTGCACATTTGCCTTGTTCCAACTTCTTCCTCTACCTATTCCTCTTCCTTGATAGAATCCTCCACGTCCTGGACCTCTACCTCCAGATTCAAAATTCGTCCTGAGAGCGTGTTCTTCCTCACTTCCACTCTTCCTTTGGAACTTTTGTTCATGAAAAACTAGGGAACTCTGTAGAGCATCAAGAAATAGAGTTTTCTATATCTTTGGATTTTTCTATAAAACACACCACATAGTTGAACTTCTCAGTCAGAGTTCTGAGAATTTTCTCAACTATATGCACATCTGTCAGGTTGTCTCCACAGTTTCTCATTGAATTTGCTACCACCATCACTCTACCAAAATAATCAGTTATAGTCTCACCTTCTTTCATTTTGAGCAGTTCAAAACTTCTCCTCAAGGCTTGCAGTTGAGCCTTCTGAACCCTTGCACTCCCCTAATACTTGGTTTTAATGGCATCCCACAGTTCTTTGGCAGTCTGCTTGTTGGCGATGGTCTTGAGGATGGCTCGATCAATGGAGCTGAAGAGGTAATTTTTGGCTTTAAGATCCTTTAGGCTGAGGTCTTCCAGGCTTTTGGTTTATAGAGCAGACAAAACCTCAGTGGCAGAAGGTTCTGTAAATCCCTCACTAACCACTCCCAATATTCCTTCGATCTCAACAGGTTCTCCATCACCAAACTCCAGTGGTCATAGTCACCATCGAACTTTGGTATGCCCACAGCAGCAAAACCTCCATTGTCATTCATCTCTATAGAATCTCTCTGCTCAAACTCTATTGAGCTTTCAATCTACACCCAGGTTATGATTCTCACTTGATCACTAGTGTTTCCCTACCCTGATCTGCAGTCAGATCTGCAGAACTTTTCACACAGCACTCCATCTCAGGTTACAGTTTGCAGAGCTCTGATACCACAATGTGAACTCTTATGGGGCAAACTGACAAAGATTATTGATCTGAATCAAAGAAGGTTAAATACAGAGACTTAGCCTTTGACAACGACCACACTACTAACCCCCCGTCCCTTGATTCGTGCCCCATGAATCAACCAATAGCCCTACTAATAAGCTGTTTATCCTAACAACCTGCAACTTATTCAAACCCCGAACTAGACTCTAATGACTCTAAACAAAACACCAAGGATCATACTGAAATAAGACCTCTAAACAAAACACCAAGGATCATACTGAAATAAGACCACGAAAACCTATCAGCTAGACTCTTAAACCAAACGACACCGTTTTGGTTCCTTTATTCAAATGATCAAGCTTTCCCGCTGTAACTCTAATCCTTCTCCTTCTCGGATTTGGATTCAAGTCAACCTACAGCCCTGACTTCAGCTCACACAAACTATCCCAATAGTCGAATTGTCTATCAAAAGATCTTCTTAGTCATTAGGACGACAACACTGTTAAAACAACGAGCGGGGTGAGAACAAGAAAAAAGAGAAAGCAAGCCTCCTGATTAGTAGTTTACTTATGTGCCATCGCCCAAGGCCGCCTTCCCGTGGCTCACAAGTCTTTAGAAAGATACATCAAAGATAACACATAGCTAGATCTCCTAAACACCAACCATTCACCTACCATTACTTACACATTTACATTACCAGAACTAGCTACAACGAAAGATCTTGACCTCCAGCACAACAGCAGCAGAGTTTAACAGAACAGACGTCTGCGATGAAGGTTGGAACAAACAGACATCAAACGGCTGCAAATTGTTGTCCTGAGCGAAAATCCTCCATCCACCGCCCAGCCCTCCCCATCCTTTCTTCTTCCTCGGCCTGAACTTCACCGGCCACTCGTTCTCTCCCACCCTCAGTATCAGCTCCTGCGTCTCCCCATAGTTCAGATGCTTCTTCATCCACGCGCTCGGGACCGACTGCCAATAAACCAAACCAGAATCCCCTCCTAGCTATAAGCCAGATTTCGTGGAACCAAATCCGATGGGGCAAAACGATCAATCAAGTTTATCGTTGATCTCAATAATTCGAATTGTTCAAATATGTTCAGTTATGAATCCTATACCACTTGCTAATATACAGATACTAGTAATAGACCGGATCGAGTTAACGTGATCATAGTATCACTAATGAGAAGTGCAGAGTGATTTAATTACCAGGTAAAATGTCTTGCAAACGCTGCTGGTTTTCATCACGGAGATGAAGCAATCTCTGCCTGCAGCGAATCTAGCCATCGTCAGAGCCTTCCGTTTGGACTCCTCTGTCACCGTCCTGTTGTACTGTTCCACCACCAGTTTCGTCCGCTTCAATTTGGGCTTGGCCATTTTGTTCGAGACGCCGGAAGATACAGGCTGCCCTGTCGACGATGTTGGCTCGTCGTCCACTATTATCTCCACGGAGTTCTCCGGCGGCGGCGGAATATTTCCGTCAGCTCCACTGTTGTTTTCCCCTGCAGGCGGCGAGGCAGGGGAGACATGAACACCAGCGAAATTCCCCCCTGTTGTTTTCGTCTTCGGCTCGCTGCTAATATCACCCTTCTTAGCGAAATAAGCGGCGGGCTTCTCGCAGGATGTACGGGTTTCGAGGATCAGAACGTCGAAACGGGACTCGCCATTGTACTTGAACACCAACAGATCGCCGACCTGGAGCGAATTGTCGGCCGCAAATTCGCTCCATCCCCGACTGAAGCACACGGTGCTCTGGGCGTCGGCGGCGGAGGTCGTGGTGGTCAATCTGACGGTCCAATTGGCTCCGCTCGGACCCGTCAGAGTGACGGTCTCCGGTAATTTGGATTTCAACCGGCCGGAAAATTTCTTAGGCAGTGCCTGTAATTTGTTTGGACTAAATTTCATCAGTCAAATTTGCTCATCCATGCGAAGATTGGGCTTACAAGTTACAAGGTTGACGATTTGTGCATTTTTTTGTAGACCCAAATGATGAATTAGTGTAAAGATGTTAGATTTGTGGGAAGGTGAAGATGAAGAAAAGCTTACAAGGGTGCGGTGGAAGCCGGCATGCAGTAATCGGAAGAAATGGGTGAACTGGAAGTGAGTCCAGTACATGTCTTCTTCCCAGCTGCTGCTGCTTTTGCTTTTGCCTGCGTTGGCTTCTTCTTCTTCTTCTTGACCTTCTTGCCCCATTGTTGCCATCCCTGTGAATGGAAGTAGAGATGGGAAGGAGGAAGTGGTGAAAGGAAAGCTGTGGGGATCGGGTAGTTATGGAAGAAGGGACATCGCACAAGTGGCAGGTAGAGGGTGTTAAGTGCCACTAGGGGTGTACATGGTGAGATTTTTCCAGAAATAGTATCATTAAAACAAATTATAAAAATAACACCCAAATAAATTCCAAAAATACCACTTTTATTTTAAAACCGCACCTCTAAGGTGCGGTTTACATGTGAACCGCACGTCCAATGTGCGGTTTATATGTAAACCGCATCCTAAGAGAACAGTTTAAGGTTATGGGCCAAAACCGCATCTTGGCCATGCGGTTTTGTGTCTGACCTAACAGGACCGCATGGCCTAGGTGCGGTTCTTTGGCTTACCTAGAAAAACCGCACGTCAAGGATGCGGTTTTGTTTCTCCAACACAAACCGCACCCTCAACATGCGGTTTTGCCCTTGCCGACACAAAAACCGCACCCCCATGCGGTTTGTGTGTCGTCCCCATTTTCCCGACACCCACCATGTTGCCATGCAGGTTGACAGACGTGAGGCTGCATGGCAGATGAAAACCGCACCCTCCCCATGCGGTTTTCATTGATGATTTTGCTTATAAAAGGCAGCCCCGGGAAACCTCTTTTCTTCACACCTCTCCTTCCCCCTTTTCAATTTTCTGTTGTAGCTACCTACTTCTTTATTGTTTTTGTGGTTAACGTTAACTCGTAATCCAATGGATCGATGAGCTGGCTTGCAGTCTGCCGTTGGATCGCCTCCTAATCCAACGATCTTGGGGGCCGCTGCGTCAGAAACACAAACCGCACGCTGTTGATGCGTTTTTCTGGCTTACGTGGCAAGGACCGCACCTCCAAGGTGCGGTTTCTAGATAAAACGCACATTCACCGTGCGGTTTGAAAATAAAGGTGCTATTTTTGTAATTTCTATGGGCTGGGTGCTATTTTTGTAATTTTTTTTAAAGGGTGCTATTATTAGAAAAATCCCTACATGAGTCGGGTAGTCTGGGTTTAGTCATTTTAATCACTCGACTCATGCACTACGGTTTGAGAAATATTAAACCCAAACCCACCCAAAAATATTTAAACTCTACGGTTTGTTTCTAATTGGGTTGGATCGGGTTGATGATATTTTTAAGTAAAAACTCAACCCAACACAAAATATCTAATTGTTCTACACCATAAAAATATTTTATAACTAATTAAAATTTCAAGCAAATAAACTGAGGGTGAAATGTATCAAAATTCACAAATGTTGTTTGAATTTTAATAAAATTCCATTTACTTCAACATATGTATATTTTTTTCACGATATTTGTTGAAATAGGCTAAAAAGGTTATAAACAAACACATCCATGATATGTTATTCTATTAAAATTATACACACAAAAAAAGAATTACGTGAATCATAGCTATATAAATTTATGGCTAAACTTTAAGCCAAAGAATACATTAGATTAGGGAGACCATGGGAGAAAAACATGGTGAAATATCTTAATTTTCTCATAAGTATGACTATATACGACATACATATTTTGTGGATACGAACTCATAGCAATAGTTGGAACACGGGTTGGGTCGGGTTCTACGGGTTGTGTAATCCAAAATCCTAACCCAGCCCAAAAGAGGTGGGTTGTACAAAAGAAAATCCTCACCCAATACAAAACCTTCATTTTAACGATAAATATGAGTGGGTTGGGTCGGGTTGGACGGATGGGTCGGTTTGCGGGTGTCTTTGTTCACCCTAAGTGCTAGTGCATAAAGAGAGTAAAAAAAGGTAGATCACCGTGGCTGCATATCTACTATTTTCACATGGTAGTATAAAATTCCTAATTTATGTGTTATTAGAAACAACTAGTTGTAATATGGTATCAGAGTTGGTTTTATAAGGGATCGTGTGTTCAAATTTTTAAAGCCCCCAATATTAACAATTGAGTAAAACACAAGGTATGGTGCTCGCCTGTGCAAACTTTATGCTCATAGGTTGACTTTCATTTGAGAGGGTATTTATAGAGTGGTATAAGATTCATAATTAATCTTCTCTCAACAACTCGAATTATTAGAAGAACTATATGTATGATACTTAACCACTTCATTACACTATTCTTAGATGATCAGTTGTATTCAGGATCGCCAAATGAATTGTGGAGACCCTATGCCAAAATTGAATTATGGTTCAAATGGTGTTTTAAGTATAATAAAGTGAAAATGATCCTAACATCTTTTAGCATTGTTTGAAATACATATATCTATTAGTTATTTAATTTTCGTATTTTTTATGAGATCATTCTCTACTCATCATACACATATTCGTACCCATAATTAATTAATCATACTTATTTTTTAGGGGTATTGGTACTGGTATTTGGGACATACTGAATACCTTATCAAATTTATCACTACTTGGTATTATCGAATATCGACTTATTTTTTAGGGATTGGGATTCATTTTGGAGGGCTATTCGGTATTCGGGATTACAAGATTGGGATCGGTATATACCGAAATACCAAAAAATACCAAAAATTAAAAATTAATCAAATATAGCACACATCCTCTAGTCATTCATCACTCTTTCACAACTTAGAAGCTCCTATCTAACTCAAATTTGACTCCCAATTTAAGCCATTCTCTTCTCTCACCTACTTTCTTGTTATTTTCATAACATCAAACGACAAACACTAGTATTAATCGTCTCTCAACCTCCAATTCATCAAATTAAAGATTATCAATGACAAGAATTTGAGATGTCACCTCTCCTCCATTCTCATTATTCATATCCTAGCTCTAACCAAACTCAAGACTCTTTGTTTAGTCTCTTTGCTCTAAATTCAACAATCAAATCTAATTTATTAATTTAATTATTAATTGCCAATGTAATTAATTTCATATTTGATAATACCGATAGGGATACCGAAGTACCGATTGGGATACCAAAATATTTAGGGATTGGGATTGGGATACCGAAATTATTTAGGGATTGAGATTGTGATTGACTTTAGGGTATAATTCGGTATTCGGGATTTCGATATTTGGAATTGGAATACCGATACCGTACCGGTTTCCACCCCTAAATACAACAGACGAATGAATTAATTAACATACGTAAATAGAGGCCCCTAATACAAAAGACACATATAAGATATAACCTATAATGTACTAAATCACACTTCACCAGACATAGAGTTTCTATCCTAGTAAGGGGTGAAGACAGGGTGATCCAATATCCCCCTATCTTTTTTTGTTTGTGGTGGAAGGGCTATCGGCTCTAATAACTAAAGCAGAAAGGGAAAGGCAGATTGAAGGGATAAGGGTGAAGAGGCAAGCACCACATATTTCTCACCTCTTATTTGCTGATGACAACATCCTTTTCCTGAGGGCAACTAAATCATAATGTGAGAAAGTTAAAGCCATCTTAAGCTTATATGAAGCTGAATCTGGCCAGCAGGTCAATCTCCATAAATCTGAGTTATCCTTTAGCCCTAATGTCAATCTCCATAAATCAGACTTACTAAACATGGAGGCGATGGACTACCATCAAAAGTATCTAGGCCTTCCTAAAATTATTGGCCGATCAAAGAAGCAGACTTTTAGCTATTTAGTTGATCGAGTTAGAGCAAAAGTGAAAGTGTGGAAAGGAAAGCTGCTATCTTTAGCAGGGAAAGAAGTATTGATCAAGGTTGTGGCACAGGCACAGATGACATATGCCATGTCAGTTTTTCAAGTACCTCCCAACATTCTAAAGGAAGCAAAACAAGCAGTAGCTCATTTCTGGTAGGGGCAATAGGAGGAGGAAGGGAAGACACATTGGCTTAATTGGAAAGAACTCTGCAAACCCAAGAAGCTGGGGGGAATGGGCTTTAAAAACCTTCAGAGTTTCAATCTAGCCCTCATTGGAAAGCAATTATGGCGTATTGTCCAAAACCCTAATACACTAGTGGCAAAGGTTTTGAAAGCAAAGTACTATGAGGATCGAGATCCTTTGGAAGCAGAAATTGAAAGAAATCCGAGTTGGGTTTGGAGGGGATTAATGGCTGCTAAGGAGTTAGTTAGACGTGGAATGAGGTGGAGGGTGGGGGATGGAACTAAAATTGACATCTGGCTCGACAAATGGGTGCCTTCCAGCACAACTCAGAAAGTAACATCCCCAGTTGCACATTCGAGTGGTTCTGCCTCAATTGCTGAACTAATAGATTTGAACTCAAGGAGCTGGCGTACAAACCTGCTTCAGAGATTTTTTTAACCCTATGGATCATGTTAACATACAGAAGATCCCCACTCCCAAGCAACCTACTGAGGATAAACTGATATGGGGAGTGGAGAAATCAGGGAAATACACTGTTAAATAAACATACAGGCTCTGGGAAGGTAGGAATGATGATGTATTGGGAGAAATCTATACACCGGTGAATTGGAAAAGGCTATGGAACTTGAAGATAGTTCGGATCTTTGCCTGGCGGTGGGAGAGAAATAGTTCCTACAGGAGCGAGGGTTTATGATCGAATGCAAAAGGGAAGTGAAAACTGCCCTTTTTGCAACCTTAGAGGAGAAACACAGGGACACATCTTTTGGGACTGTGATTGGGTTTGCAGGGTTAGGAGATATGGCCCTATGGATTCATATATAGCAAGGGGGGAGAACTTTACCTCGGAAGAATGGTACCGTGAGCTCCAGGAAACGGAATCTGATGAGCAGCTGGGCGAAATCCTTGTGGTGCTCTGGTTCATCTGAGACCAACGCAACTGTCACTACTGAAATAAGAAGAAGCTAGAGGAGTGGGAAATATTACTTGGAGAAGCAGTTGAGTCCTCGGCGGTTGGAAAGAAATGATGCGCAGGGGTGGCTGCCACCGACGAGAGCTCCGGTGAAAATCAACGTCGATGCGGCATGCATTGCAGATCGAGGAACGGGGTAGGGAGCGGTTATCAGAGATGGTGGGGGAAGATTTTTGTTTGCTGGAGTTCACAGATCGAGAATCCAGTAGAATCCTGAGGAAGCAGAGGCTATGGCGATTGGTTTTGGCTTGGATTTAGCTCGAAGGTTTGAGCTCATGGAAATGGAAATGGAGTCGGATTGCCAAGGGATTGTAGAGCAGCTGCGAAAGGGAGAGGAAAGGAAGACCGAGATAGGTTTGCTGTGTGCTGAGCTTCGGGTTAAGGCCCAAACCCTGAACTATGTTGAGTGGAATTTTATGGGCCGCAAAAACAATGAACCAACCCATTTTATGGCCCATGTTGACTGTAGTTGGGAGAGTGAGGAAGTGTGAGTAGACAACCCACCTCATTTTTCTTGTACCTCTTCTTAGAGAGGATATTGGAGGAAACTACAACTTTTCAATTTAATTAAATGAATGCAGTTTCTCTTAAAAAAATCTTGGTTTTTGACCAAACAAAAACAAGAATAACGAACACCTTCCCCAACTATTCCTCCACTATACAAGATGTGGTGTGAGTGATAACTGATATGGCTCAACAAGAAACAAAAAAGATAGCAATTAAAACCTTTTTTAACAACAAACTTAATCCCAATTAACACCCTTAATAAGTTAATATTCATCTTAATAGGGTGCGTTTAACAATGGCGTCTATCTTCCACTCCGTTCCCCATCCATTAAGTAGATGTAAATAAATTTGAGGCACCTGATCGTTACACGTACCCATCTCGGTCCAGAAAACATACCCAACCGGCCGCTAATTGCATCTCCGACGCCCGACGGGCATAACAATTAACAACCCACAATGGAAGAAATCCCAAAACGAGAAGAACACGAAGAAGAACGAGGAGGAGATCAAATTCAAGATCAAGAAGAATCAAGCAGAAGAAACCAATGGGAAGAAGAGATGTACTGGACCCATTTCCAATTCACCCATTTCTGCATCTCTCTCCCCTCCGCCTTCCTTCACTCCCTCGTGAGTCAAATCCCAGATCTGATAATCAATTGATTGATTTCCGTCCGACCCAATAATTCCGACGAGTTTTTATTTTGTTTCTGATTTCCCCCACCCCCCCCCCCCCCCCCCCCCCCCCCCCCCCAGGAAATCCCGGCAAAATTTTCCGTCAATTCCAAGCACAAATTACCGGAGTCGGTCACGATGACGGGCCCCGGCGGGGCCAACTGGATGGTGGGCCTGACGACGGGCCCAAATGACGCGGTGATGTTCGGCCCGGGGTGGAGGGAATTCGCCCTCGACAATTCTCTGCGGGCCAACGACCTTCTGGTGTTCAAGTACGACGGCGGCTCCCGTTTCGACGTTCTGATAATCGATGGCCGTAGCTCGTGTGAGAAGGCCGCTCCTTATTTCGCCGGGAGGAGTGTTGTTGCCGGTGCTCCTCTTGCTGCTGACGATCGGTCCCGGGCGGTAATCAAACGGCGCCGTCTGGGGTCCGATTATGATCACGTGGAATCGAGTTCGAAACCGACGGAGGTGGCAAAAGAGGAGGAACGGAAACGGAAATCGGCGATGAGGAAGGCGAGATTGGCGGAAACGGAAGGCGGATTCATTGCCGTCATGAAGGCCAGTCACATTTGCCGGAAATACTACCTGGTAAACTCTCAGCTGGTCACTCACCTTTTTAGTTTTTAACGAATTAGTCACTAAATTTCGGAAAAAATTAACATAAATTGGAGTCTCTCCAAACCATTAGAGAGTGGACTAGTAGACATGAAATCAGATGAATCACTAAGATTTTATAGGTCCGTAAGTTTACTATTTTAACTATCGAAAAGAGAAAAAAAAATATTAACTTTAACTAAGACTATCCACTACCAATTTTATTTATGATTCTTTTTCTTCATTTTCCATCCCCTTGTCGGTTTAGTGCGGTCCACTATCTTCAATTTTATTAAAAAGTATGATTACTTTTGTAATATAGTTTGAATGATTTGTTAGAACATTTGGAGATAGATGATAAGAATTTAAAATTTTTACATAGTTACCGTAAGTTTTAAATTACTATATTTTATATGTATTTTATGTTATAGTGCTTGACGGTTTATATCAATGGTACGGTTTATTAATGATTTTTAATGGATAACCGCTAAACCATGAATCACTAATTTTTCCGATTCAGCATCTATTCCGGTTATGAAACAGAGCTCCAAACTCATGAGAACAGCGGTCTAATACTGAAATACATCATAGGATGAAGAACCGGACCAACCGTGTATTCTCCGGATTTGGTCCGGTCAAAATATCGATTCGATTATTTTTTCCCCCAGTATTTATAAAATTGGGTTATATGTATAATATGCCACTCTACTATGTCGTTTTATCAAACATGTCCCTCTATTATTTTTTACATCAAGCATGCCCTTATCCTTTTTTAAAAATGATCAAACATGCCTTTATGTTAAAATTTTCATCCCAAAATCGTTAACCACGAACGAATTTTGGTTTGGGCGATACAATGTCTAAAATATCCCGAATAATTTCACTTTAGAATTTTTGTGTGCTTTTGTATAGCTAAATAATTCAAATAATTTCACTTTAACGAGACCCAGAGAAATATAACAGGGGACAAAACTGACATTTTCTCTCCCATTTGTCGATGTCGGGTCGTCTAAACCTTGGTTGAACCATGATAGACGATCTTTTTATGGAAATTTTAACAAAAGGGCATGTTTGATAATTTTTTCAAAATACATGGACATGTCTGATATAAAAAATAGTAGAGGAGTATCCTTGATAAAACGGCATACTACAGGGGCATATTATACCTATAAGGCTATAACCCTATAAAATTCATGAAACAAAGTATCGGAACACATTATATTTGGTTCAATATATCTGATCCGAATGTCATTTTGATACGGTGCAGTCCAATACGAATTAAATCGTTGCACACCTACTAATTAGCTATTGTTTTCCCACGTAACAGTCGCTTCCGCTGACGTGGATGAAGAGGCACCTCGGAGTCGAAGCACCGGAGCAAGCGGTGATTCTGCGGACGGAGGACGGCGGGAAGTGGCCGGTGAAATTCAGGATGCGGAGCGACTGCTGCAGGGGAGGGCTGTCGACAGGATGGAGGCAGTTCGCCTTTGACAACAACCTGCGCCTCTTCGACGTTTGCTTGTTCCAAATCGCCGGCGATGTTGTTGCCGGCCCGGACGCCGTCGTTTCTCTAGATGTCAAAATCTTTCGTTGCGATGGCTGATCATGTTGGTCTGTTTTTTTTTTTTTTTTTTTCTTGGGCATTGACGAGTTCAGTTGTTTCATTTTGGAAGCACACTGACGATCGAGTTTGTCTCTGGCTTCTTTCGCTTGCAAAATGTGGGCTAATTAGAATAAAAGGTCACAAATCTATTCATTTTGTACATAAAGATCACAAACCTTTTATTTTGCACGTTTCAATAACAAATGTTTGGACTAATCAAGAAAATGTAATTTTGTCCATCTTCATCTAAAAAACCGTTAACATCCATTCAGCACGCCACGTCATCTAAGATATTAATAAAAAATTGATGACCAAATAAAAAATTGATGACCAACCCAATTGAACCGAATCACCCACCCAAAAATATAAATTCCATACCTACCCACAGGGGCGTAGCCAGGATTTTGTCGAGGGTGGGTCCATTTAGAAAAAATACATACGATAAAATAATTTTGTTAGCTTTCTAAATCGTTCATGATATAATTTTGTATTTGCAATAACTTGATAAATTAAATTATATGTCAAAATTATCAATAATATCACCATATATGTATCAAACAATTATTTATGATTTAGTTAGACATTTGTTGTTGAATCGTGTTCTTCGTCAAGACCGTTTAGTATCATTAACTCGAGTTGTTAGGAAAGATTTAATAATGAATATGATACTATTTAGTATTTACTAACACTTTCATGCTTACTACAACCAACTTATGCGTGCTTAAAGTTTACGTAAATCCGAATATCATGTGTTTAACAAATGGGGTTACAAAGATTCGAACAAATGATATCTCGGTCAACCATTCTCAATTAGAAGTGCCCTAAATTTCATTCTCAATTAACTATTATACTAATTTACTCATTTTCGTCCTTAGGAAACACCTGTTACAATCTCCCTACCCCTGATTGAAATAAAATTATTTTTACAAATGAATTATGATTTGGTGGAAATTTGTTGTCAATATTGAATACATACATCTTCAATTTTGGTCGAATCATATACATCATTATCATTTGTACATAACTCGTCATAAATACATTGAATATGTCAACGCTCGTTATAAATCATACATCAAATATTTCAAAGGTCTACCAATTTTATTTAAATATGTATTATTTTTCATACCCGATTAACTATTGTATCTAAGTGACCATTTTCTAACTCGAGCCAGGGTGGACCCACCCTCTAACTCTCTCCCTCCGCCCCTGCCTACCCACCCGAAATTTTGGAGGCAAGACACACTATGTCACTTTTGACTCTCCCCTACCCCTTTACTGAGCAATTAAGAGCTCCCAGAGGAATTTACATTTCCATTGACAATTTGATCAAGAGATTCCATTCACGCCCATTGATCAGAAACAATATACTAATCTCTAAACAATTAAACTTTAATGCTAACAACTTTCTCAATTCTCATCCATAAACAAACCAGTCTGGATCCCTCCGTCCGGGACGCGCCAAAGAGTGGCTCCGTCGGGACATCAAGTTCCTGCTGGACGCTGTTATGGCGATCGAGCGTTGCAGAAATCTCGTCATTGTCGCGATCAGTGGGGCCTGCATCGGTGGCGGAAGCGATCTATCCTCGCAAAGTCATTCGCTCTACAAATATCGGCAACAGAGAGATCTATCACCATAATAGACTTGCCAATAAGGGCGGTACCCAAAAGCACTGCTGCTTGTCATCATCACAAGGCCTCTTTTAGAAAGCGTCCGCTCTCGCTTATGCCCATTCTGGTGGTCGTCAAGGGCTTGCGAGCTGTAGAACTTCCTCTGGGTGCTGAATCGCTCAGTAAATTGGCAGAGGAAAGTGACAGAGTGCGTCTATCTCCAAGATTTCGGGTGGGTGGGTATGCAGTTATTATTTTCGGTTGGGTTCTCCGGTTAAATTGGATTTTGTCATTAATTTTTTATTAATATCTTAGATGATGTGGCATGCTGACTGAACGAAAGTAACGATTTTTTGGATGAAGATGGACGGAATTACCTTTTTGTTATTAGTCCAAACATTTATTATTGAAACGTGCAAAATGAAAGGTTTGTGACCATTTTGTACAAAGTGAATAGGTTTGTGACCTTTTATACTAATTATACGCAAAATGTGGTTTGGATGAGATTGAGCTCTTAGACTACCATACTTGTCGTTCTTTCCCATTAGCATACTCGAATGCCAACTTTCACATGTTTGGATCAAGTAGTTCAAGAAAATTATAATGATATTAGCAACGAAGAGTAATAGATCTTGCTCAGATTGTTTTTCTAATATAACAAGAGAAGTCGTTCAAATTCCTAAATTCCGAGTCTTTGTCTCATTTAGCTAAAATTGCGATTCCAAATCGAGAAAGGTGTTAGAAACCCGGTTTCTAGCTATTTTGGGGATTTGGACTCATTTGTCGGTTTATTATTGTTTAAGGACCTTGGATGTTATTGTGGGTATTTTCGAATGATTGGGGTATTATTGATTATTAGGAGACTATCAGGTAGTGATTCGGGTCTAATTGTACACTTTTTACCCCCGTTTCACTTTGATGTTTGTTGCAATTGAACTCCGAAAGGGTGGTTTTACGCGAGGTTTCTTGTGTTTCAGTGTGTTTCGGATCCTAACAGGTGAAATCAACCCCGGAGTCGAAAATTGGAAGGAAAGGAGCAAATACCGGGCAAAGAGGAGCGGACAGCCGCAATACACGATCTGCCATTGGAGTTCACGGTCTTACAGGACCGTGAACTAGAGCCATATATATAATCCGTGAACAAAGGAGCGTCCAGAGAGGGTTTTGAGGTTACTGGCGCAGACCATGAACCTAGGGATGTGAAGCGGTGCGTTTTGGTTCAGACACCGAGTTCACGGACCCGTTTTGATGGTCACGGCTGTGAATTGGGCTCGATCTCGGTTTAAAAGAGCCAGCTGAAAGGAAGAAGAGGGAGAGACCTAGTGTGAGAAACTTCTTCTTCTTCAGATTTTAGAGTGAGAAAGTGACGAACCAAAGAAAAGGAGAAGCTAGGGTTTCATCTCTAAGCAATGATTTGGGAATTCCTCCCCCCCCCCCCCCAAAGGAGGATCTCTTCAACAGAAGGAGCAAGGCTTTCATCTTCTTGATGGTTTTCCTTTCCCTCTCTTGTGTTTTTTTCTTCTCCTAGCATAGAGTAGTACATTCTTTCACTTGGGTTTGTGTGTGGTTATGTTTAATGTGAATGTGGAGGTATTTTTCATGATGATGGTGTGTGCTTTGTTGACCTTGCTTAGAGAGGAGACCTCCTTAGATTAAGAGGCTCAATTAGAGATGGGTGTTCTTGGGCATTGCATGCCTCCTATGCTAGTTTAGAGAGGAAACCTCCTTTATCCAAAGAGGCTCAATTTGAGCTGGGTTTCCTTGGCATTGAAAACCTCCTAGAGTAGTTTAGAGTGAACCCTCCTTAACCTAAGAGGCTCTATTAGAGATGGGTTTCTTTGGGCATTTCATGCCTCATATTCTAGGTTAATTAAGGGCAAACCTCCTAATTCTTATTAGCAAGTTGGTTGTGGGTGGCCATCCGAACTCCAATTCGAGCGTGAAATCTAACCTTTCCTTAGTCGATAGGTTGAGAGGTTCGCATTAGCGTCTTGGATCATATCCCATTTCCTCAACCTAGAGACTAAGAGGGTAGCCTCGGTTGCTTGTTAGACTTCCCTGGGGTTTATAACCCCCTAACCACACACGATCGTTCAATTCTTCAAGTCGCAATTGTTAGTTAGGGAAGCAACACTCGGATGAAGCCTTCTCAATGAGTGTCAAATCCATTTTACCTTTTCAAAGTACTTTAGTTCTAGACCTTAGTTTTCACCAAAAACTAATTTGCTAGATAATGTTTCAAATAGTCGAAGTAGCACTACATGGGCTGGCCCGGGTCGATATTTAAACATACTTGCTCTATATTGAACCCATCTAAGGTTTATACTTGGGCTTTAGGTGGAATGGATAGTCAGAGCGAGTCATGTAGTTATTGTTGGGGGTTTTTAATGGTGTGAATGGAAATGAAAGGGGAAAGATCCAAGAGAATCTCTTGAAGTACCATGTTCGTAAGATAAGGGAAGGCACGCCTCGAATTCGATCGATTTGATGTAATGTGTGGTTAGTCGGTTAAATTGGTTTGTGTAACCAAACGGACCAAACCAAACTGAGTTGAACCAAATCGAATCGAACAGATATGGCAGTTGGAATAACCAAACCGGTCCAACTACCATGGCCAAACCGATGCAATTGTTCACTATTTTAAAATAAACCAATGTGTTGGTTAGGGTGTAACCACCAATATGAAGAGTCGCCTCCCTTCGTACGCACCCCTTCATTTTCTATAAATAGCATCATACCCTCTCTAGTTTTTACTACAAGAAACATACGTTTTTCCCATACCAAAACTCTGCAAAAATCTAAAGTGATTTTCATCATTGTTTTTCAAAGAGAAAATCGAGTCAAGAGTGGTTCGCTGCGTTCGATGGTTTCCGGGGTTTGAGGTACCGCTACGCCGGAAAAGGTACATCCTTTCTATTTTGGGAGGAATCATTTCATAACCTTGGGTACTAGAGGGGAATAAGATTCTTTAAGAAGAGACAGTGAATTTTGTCGGGTAGGACGCTTGCATATGTGTCTTTGCACGATTTTTCGTGATCTTACATATTGCCTGTTTTGTAAGATTTAGTATATGTGAACAATTTTCACAACAATTTTAAAGAATCTTATTTTAGTAATTGTTCTCGTATATTGTTTGGCATAATCGATTACTGTTGCAAATTAGATTGCAGTATGATCATGTTTTCGTCACTTCGTGTATATGCCATCGTTCATATTGGCCGCATGCAGTTTGAATTAGAAATGAGAAGTTGCCACGTGCACTTTGAAAAGAAAAAAGAATGGGGCATGCATTAGAAATTTGATAAGGTTTGCATCGTTGTTGTACATTATGAACCTGTTAATTGAAAGGAAAATATATACATGTCCTAACAAAACAATATAGAGATTCCAGCCCGCAGCACCTCTGCTTTCTGTTTTCCTGCGCTCTCGCAGTTTACGGGAGGCCAAATTGGTAAATGGCTCTGTTTCCCGTTCGATTGAGATGGGCCGCCGGTGGTGAAAATATCTGGGCCATACCTCAAAGCCCAATCCTGTCGCTGCT